AAAACAAACACTTATGAAAAAAAAGGAAAAGAAACTGCAGTTGAATTCACAGCCATTTTCTCTTTTGACTGATAACAGTGCTAGCACTGCCTTGAACAAAACTTCTGCAGGAAATTTCTTTGTGCTTACTGCTAAAATTGTATGTTACTGCAGTGACTAAAGTGAGAAGTTAAGACTATAAATAAATGAACTTATTGATCAGGAAGTACATCCAAATATCAGAAATGTCTCTTTTATTTTCCATGTTGAATTCATGAGCATGCATCAAAGAGACACACTGGAGACTTAACACTTGTAATCTCCTGGTAATAAATAAACACAAACACTTGTAATTTGAAAAACAAAAGGTCTATAATTAAATTAGGATGTAGTTATCATTATTGGCAAGGAACTGATATTTCTCCATTTCATGAATTTATTACAACTGGAATACTTGTAAAACCAGCAAAAATTCAAATCAAAATTTATCATAAACTTTTACCTCAATGATACTTTTTGTTTCTCTAGATCTAAAGTATGCAGCATAAATAAAGTGAATGAGGATGCTGTCTAAGTTACAGTCTTCTTCTGAGTGGATAATAACAGTAGTCCAGTAGTACTGAATAAATTTGCACTTTAAAATGGAATTTGAAATGAATTGGGCCATATGTTTCAAGCCTGAGGAAAAATAATAGTCATTGTAGATCTGGTTGTTGAGAAAAAATTCCCTCAGAAGTACAGAAAGAGCTGGAAATGAACCAAAGCTTTCATTGACAAGACTGAATTCAGTTATCAGTGTGGTTGAGCTGTATGCCTTGTATATTGCAGAATGCTACTCTGCCTGATGTTGCTGATGGGGGAGATGTTTTCCTACATAGGCTGAAGAGCAGCCTATGGTCACAGGTAATTTGAATAATTTGTGTGGGGTTTTGGAGGGGTGGTGAAGGCTAGAGAAGACAGCCCTCTCACACAGCAATTTTTTTGGCATTTAAAAAAAGAGACAGAAAATGGTTAGTTGTTGATTTATTATTATTGTGTTTTTAATGTTAGGAAAGAGAAGTGAAGCTTGTGGCATTTTCTGAGTCAGGGTCCAATATAATTTGACTGGGCTTCAGTCCTATGCACTTTTGCTGTGTGAATGGGGGGAAGAAGGCATACTTTGCTGGTCTGCCTGGATTATAAAACACCTTCTGATAGCTGGGCAACAGATTTTCTGCAACTCTAGACTGCTGAGATGAAATGTCTGCATTGTTTAGCAGACTGGTTGGTCATAGAAGATTAAACCTCTAGTAAGGAGGACATGCACTGTATCTCCAACCAGCTTCACAGAACTAGGATTATGTTTGCATTCTTTTTCTTGATGAGACAAGTAAGGAAAAGACAAGCAAGGGAATGGTAAATATTAAAGGTTTGACTTTGACAGACACAATCCTGGCAACACATCTGAAGAAACTTGTGAGATGCCACTCTGATTTCACAAGGAGACCCAGTATTACTTTGTCTCCTCCACCCCCACTTCAGTGGTTCTCTATAGCATTAAGGAGAGAACTTCCCATTCAGTCCGAAGCAGCTGGAGGTTTTTGACCTGAAATGCAACATAAATTGTTGTGGGGAAAATATCATTAATGTATTCGTTTTGCTGATTTATTTATTTTTTTCTGGCAGGACAATGAAAGAAAAATCTTGTTAGCCCAGATGATTTCTACGTACTTAGAACTGTTGAGCACTGCAACTAAAAGTCATACTTCAGCTCATGTGAAGGAATTATTAGAAGCCCTGACTCATTATAAAGAGAAATACAGTGAAAGCCTGAAAAAAGCAAAAGATATAATTGAGTTGTCAAAGCTTCCGGTAAGATTCATTTTTCATTCACAATATTTAATATATCAACTAGAATATGTCAATTAAAAAAAATCAACTCATTGTGCAATGGAAACAAAAAGAGTAGATCCCATACAGACGATTAGTCTTATGGTGAAATGCATTTGAGCAATGACTATCAGTGTAGATAATATGCTCATGTATACAGTAGCGTCTAAGACACAGATGTTTCCTTCCTTCCATGCAGCATGAAATGCAGCTGCTGACACAATATTCTGTTGCTCTGTAGTATAGTCATAGTTCTTGCTTTTTATCAAACTACTATGATAAATGTTAGGGTGTGTCTGATCACAGTGAGGGGTTAGCTCACAGTACAAGGTTAGAATTAAACCTGGGAGAAATTACTCTGATTAAAGATGACTTTTTCATTTTTGGGGTGCTGAGAACTTTATCTCATTGTGTGTGAGCTGTGCACATCCTGAAATTCAAAACTTTCCATCAGAGCCAATCAGATGCTGCTAATGCTTTTTTCCTTTGCATTACTGGGGCTGTGCAATCCAGTTTTTGCCTATAACTCCCAAAAAACCCTGACCGCCACAACCTGTTGCTCATTCAGAGGTTCTGGGAGCTGTAGTTCAAAAAAGCAAGTTTCTCAGTTTCTGATACTTGTTCAGAATCAGTGAATGAATGCATCACTGTTGATGTTAAGCACACATTTTACAGGCTAGTCTGCTATTGACAGCAACAAACAAAAGGAGTATCTAGCAATTCTCAGTACAGGGCCTGATGAAACCAAAGTGTGGTTAATTTTGGAATTTTGGTGATTGATTGATTGATTTACATAAATAAAATAAGTAAAGCCACTGCTCTGGGTGGCTACAAAAGAAATAAACAAAAGTACACAATGAAAAAGATTAAAATGACAACAAACAAACCCTACCCCCAACCCCAGCTCTAACAAAGACTGTGTTACTCGCAAGATGGCAGAAATAAAAGCAACTATTAAATAATAATCAATACACATAGGGCGGTCACTTAATTACATAGCAGTTGAGTTAAAAAAAGGGTAAGGCTTTCAGAGGCCTGGGTAAACAGCCATATTTTAATTTGCTTCCTAAAACCAAGGAGGGTGAGGGCCTGACAAACCTCCACCAGAAGGGAATTCCATAGTGAGGTGGCCACTAGTGAGAAGGCCTGGATCCTAGTTGAAGATTTCTGGACTTCTTTTGGTTGGCCACCGGCACCAAGGTGTGGGTTGGATGGGAAGTTGATCTGAGGGAGAGCTGCTCTGTGAGATAGCAAGGTCCTCCTAAACCACATAGGGCTTTATAGGTTAACACTGGCACCTTGAACTTGGCCCAGAAGCATACCTCTAACATTGCTCAAACAAGAGGTGTGGTGGGAGATTTTAGTGTGTAGGGATAAATTGGCTGAAATATTGTGGCTGAGTTCTATGATTTAAAACTTCCTTTGTTGATTTCAGGGTGCATGTGACTTTCTCATATTGTGTGTGATTTGTATGGACCAAAAATTGCCTTTAGATAGCAGCGATTTACTGCTGCTGATGTCAACTCCATTGTGCATGTGAAGCAGTACAACAGGATTTCAGCCAGTATTTCCTTTGAATTACTTTACATCCAAAGTGAAATCAGTCAAGCTTTTCATTTGATAGCTTGTGATAGCAAGACTGGTATCCTAGGAAGAGGGATGTAAATCCACATTTGTCTCATGATTACATGCCAAAGAAGAAAATACAAGGACATTTCTCCCTGCCTGTGAGATATTGGGATTTAAAAACAAAAACAAAAAAAATACTTAACCTTGAAAAAAAATACATGCAGCTGTGAGACTAATATTTGTACATTTCAGTGCAGAGAATGCAAAATTAAAACTCCTGCCTTCTTCTATGGTTTATTAAAAAGCAGAAGCATTGAGTGGGTTGTTTGCATCTTTGTGAACAATCAGCCTTCACTTTTGTGCTTGTTGTGTGTATGCTTAATTTGACAAAGGGCAAAGACGGTGGGAACATTTTATGCATGTTGTAAGGAAGTACAATGGAAGGGGAAAAATTACTAGGTGTCTTGTTCTTGTTCTGGAAGTGAGAACTCCTATATGTTAGGGAGGAGAGAGAATCCTTGGCTGGCTGTCTCATTGTATTGGCAATCTGCTTTAACAGAGAAACAAGACATCATAAAGATCTTTGTCATGTACTTACCTACATAGGAAATTAATCTATGCTTTCCCTCTCATCAAAGTAGATGGATGTTCATCAGTGGCTTCTTGCACTAGGCAATGTGCATTCTGACATACATGGGAACAGGGAGAGAGACATGTAAAGCTAGAAGTCACCTAGTTTGAGGCAATGTAATACAGTGACAAGACTGAGTCTGAGAGTTCAGCTGTGGAGGGTTCAAAATCTTTCTCAACAACAAAGCTTACAATAGTTTTGGCCCAAATGCTGTGCCCTTTTCTAACTTCCCCAACAAGGTGAGCACCAAGGAAAAAAAGTAGGGGAAAATATGTGCTACAGTATAATTAAAAAACAAACAACAACAATCAGATAAATACTTATTTTATTTATATAATCTAATAAAACAGTGGAGAAAAACAAAGTTTCTAAAATAATATAGAAGACACCAAAACACAAAGGATGGCAACAAAGCAGAGGCAATTACTGTATTCCAAGATTAAAGGTGTACAGTATGAGTGATCACAAACAAAATTGATCCGGGGTAAGGCTGTGAAAGGCCTATGTAAGCAGTCACGTTTTCACTTGTTTTCTAAAGCCAAGGAGGGAAGGGGGCTGTTGCACCTCTGTTGGGAGAGGGTTCCATAATGAGGAGGCCACCACAGAGAAGGTGTAATTCCTGGTTGTTGATTTTCAAGCCTTCCTCGGAGTGGCCACCTGTAACATCCCAGAATATAAGGTCTTTCTGAGGAAGAGGAGTTCAGACAATTAGCCAAGACCTAAGGGCTTTGAATGTCAACATAAGCACCTTGAACTTAGCCCAGAAACATATAGGGAGCCAGTGCAAACATGCCAAGACAGGAGACATGTGATCATGTTTTGATGTTCCTGACACAAGCCTAGCTGCTGGGTTTTGTATTTGCTGCAGCTTCCGAACTGCTTTCAAGGGCAACCCCATGTAGAGATCATTGCAATAATCTGTCCTCAAGATTACTAGCAATGTCAAGGAAATACTCAGAAATACTAACAATTTCTGAGCTGGTACAGCCTTTTTTGTTTTAATCAGTAACTTACATGTACTCAATTTTGGCTATTTTATGTTTTTTCCTTGGTTTGGGATTGGGCAGGGATTTTCAGTGATATACAGTTCTTTTGCTACTACAACTGCTTTTCAATAAATATTCATAGACCACAGTGTTTGCTACTTTATTTGCATGATTGTCAGCAACTTTAAAACTGATCAATATTTTTCATTTCTAACAGCTGAGTGATTTGAAAATCCAGCGCAAGGTGATATTAGAAATGTATAGTGTATTGCTGGAGGTGAACAAAGAAGAGAACAGAAGAAAGAGGAGAAGCAGAGGACAAAATCCCAGAGACCAGAAGAGATGCAGACCAAATCTCATGGGATAATATTGTTTATTGACACAGAGAGGAATATTTTAATATATAAAAGTATTTATTAATATTTATCAATTTAAAATAACTATTTATAAGAGTCAGCCTTGTATAATCACCAATTGATTTAAAGTATTTATAATTTTTCTGAAGTAATTAATATTATTGAATTCCTATTTATCTTCTGATATTTGTTAACTGAATCAGTTAGAAGCTGTCCAGAATTTATCTGGTGTTTTTCTATGGAATGAATATAAAACATTTAAATTAAATTAAATGTTCCACTGTTTTTCCAAAGTCTTGATTTCCCCACCCCTGGCAAATAGGGACCAGTCTCATTACTTTGTGAACAGAAAATTCTATTCAGAGCTGCATATCTCACAAAGAAGATCCTTATCTACACAGGCTTTCTTGTTTGCTCGCATGGAAAAGATATATCTGTACCTGCATCCATTCTTTCGTGTCAGGGCTAACTCTAGACATTTAGCTGCCTGAGGCAGGCTATAAGATAGTGCTACCTTCCCGTTCTTCGTATCAAGATCAGCTGGGCTGGCTGTTGAATCTAATGTCAACAGCATCCTCTTTCTTCCCATCTTCAAGGCAGGAGGTACAGTAGCTGAAGAGATCCTGGGTCATCCATATGGCACAGAGCTCTCTTCTTCAACACCTTCAAGGCTGCTTCAGACATCTGAATGCCACTCTTGAAATGGTCTGACTGGTTTGGCCTCACTTCTCCTGCAGTGAAATGGGAGAAAAATGTTTCTTAGGGCTTGTTTACACTTACGTTTGCCTTGCAATAAGCTCCGTTCTAAATGGAATCAATTTAGAAATCACATGGCAGTCGCATGGTGTTTAAGTTGGTGTGTACAGCCTTTTGGGAAAACTTCTAATCCATTTTTAAGCTGAATGTACAGTATTTTGGTTGAAGGAGCTACACTGACTTTGTGGTAAGGGGTGGGAGAGGGAGAAAAAGAGGGTTCCAAGCATGGATCTTCATGAATCCACGTGATTTTAGCATGAGAACTCCCCCCAAACACTGTCAAATCGTAAGTCCCATTTATACACACAGAATACACCACAGAAATGAAGGGTACATATTTGCACTGGGAGTAGCCCTCGCACTCATCAGAGATGAATGAATATTACATACATAATCATGTACAAATTTAAATGCAAACTTCTCTGACCAGGAATAACTGTGAAAAGGTACTACTAATATTATAATAATAGTATTTGCGTCGTTCTGATCATGAAGACAGACAGTGATTCCAAATAAAGTTTTGGATAGCATGGGGCTATACTAATTGAGATTCTGATTAAGGCAATACCATCATAAAGAACTGTGTAACACCTTTAAGACTAAAATATATATATTATAACACAAGTTTTCATGGTCACACAATCTGCTTCAAGAGTGCAGTGAAGCATGGGGGTTCCAAATATCTGTGTGTGTACCTTATGTGGGAAGACAGCAATTTACAACATACCTGGGGAGGCAGGCTCAGATGTGCCACAGGGCTACACAGTCCATGAAACAAACTCCTAAGTCCTCAGCATCCTCACCCACCTGCTGCTTTTCTGACAAGGAAGGCAGCAATAGAACTAATGCTTATGTTTCAAAACGAGTCCTTTACAGGGCAGAGGTCATCTGCCCTCATGGCTTCAGGTCCTGAATGCCAATATCCCTTCAGCAACATTGCCCCTTCTTCTGTACTAAAGTGTAGCTGGCCCTGGGCATCTCTAATGCAGCTCACAACTTTCTGCCTCCACATCACCTCCGTTTCCTCTTCCACTGCACATGAACCACTGTTTGCCATTTGGGCAAGGCCGCACAGTTGCACCGTTCAGACCTCATACTGTACCTTTTAGCTTCCTTTAAATGACCCGAGGACAGGTGTGGCCCAACCATTAGGCAAAGGGAGATAGTTGCCCCAGACCACAGATTTCGAAGGCTATGTCTAAACCAAAAATGGCTAGCTCTTTATTGTTGTATGTTTAATCTCTAAGGAGAAGGAGGAAGAAGAGGCACCTAGAGACACCAAAATCATGAAAAATCTTCTACTGACTCTTCTCTACAGTCCCTCAAAGTTTGGTAAAGATTGGGTTTTCCCAAGACAGCTGCTAAAGGACACTTTCCCGGGAGGACCCACTTTGTTTACACTTACGTTTGCCTTGCAATAAGCTCCGTTCTAAATGGAAATTTAGACATGCAAGTTATACACCCACAAAGTGGGTCCTCCCGGGAAAGTGTCCTTTAGCAGCTGTCTTGGGAAAACCCAATCTTTACCAAACTTTGAGGGACTGTAGAGAAGAGTCAGTAGAAGATTTTCCATAATTTAGGTGGCATGTAGAGATGAGCATGAACTACCATTTTGGAGCAGTTAATTTACTGGCAAAACAGCTGATCTGTGGTTTCACGCCCTGCCTCTACTCAGATGCACTGCCCAGAGAAGGCAGGGCACAAACTGCAGATAAGCTCAATGTATTCGCGAAGGCTTTTACGGCTGGGATCCGATGGTTGTTGTGGGTTTTTCGGGCTCTTTGGCCGTGTTCTGAAGGTTGTTCTTCCTAACGTCAGATAAGCTGTTTGGCCAGTAAACTGCGCTGAACCACTGAACTGCTGGTTCTTGCCCATCTCTAGTGGTATGTATAAACTGTGTCAGAAAGAAGTACAATGCACTAAAATAATACTCAGTCAGAGAAAAATGCATTTAAATAAAGTTTCTGGTCAGATAATATAATTTTTGAGATCTTCTGTTCAATATTGCTTCACTGCTGCTAATGTCTCATCACAGCATGTGATTCAGTTGTGGCCTGTCTGTTAGGGCATGTAGGCTGAGGCCCCACCTCATGCTCACAATACCTCCTGTTATCCCACTTCTGCCTACTTCCAGATAAGATGCAGAATGTCTCCATGTGCTTGCCTGCCTCTGTATTTGTTTGTTTGGGAATGCCTCTTTGTATGTGTGTATACCTGTGTGTGCACCTGCACTGTGCATGCAAGTGTATAAAAACACATTCTCCCCCCTCTACCCAACATTGATCAATGTGCCTTATTCTTCATCAATCACAACAGCCAGCACTGTTGCTGATGTGACTTGCTAACAGACACAGGACCTTATCCTGCTTCCTAAGACTTATGAAGTATAAACACTCTGACCTAAAATAAAATCAGAAAACTTGGTAAAATTATTCTGTTATCAATGGAAGATTTTTAAAAATGTGTACATTTGGGAGCCAAATGTACATAAACATGGAGATGTAAATGTGGAAATTTGAATTGTGGATGTACTTGATTATAAAATCCTGTCCAGTTCCAGCACCAAAATAACACTGTCTGGAAAAGCATTTAGCCCCCTTGCCCATTGAATGAATATCCCAGTTTGCCCTCATCTGCAGGAGGGCGGAACCAGAAGTCACTTGTTTGACAAGTTAAGGATTAAACTGCACCCCCAGCTCAGAATATTCCCAACCAGTTCACTCCTGCCTGCTTCTTTACTAAGAAACAGGGCCTCTGGGTGTCATCCTGCACTCATCGAGCAAAGGTGTGACAGATGTTGTATGTCACAATAAATAAATAATCAGATATAAGTGAATGCTTCTCTGCCTGTGTTCATGTGTGTGCCTTTGACTATAAGAGCATTTTATATATATATTTATTTACAGTATTTATTTATTTATTTAAAATGCCTTTGTGTGTCTTTGTAAACATTCTTGCCCATGCCTCTGCCTACCATTGGCTTCTGTAGCTTCTGCCCCACCAACCCCAATGGGCAGGTCTGTGTGGGATAGACCTCCTAGCTCAGTGTGTAGAACAACTGGGGCACCCAAGATGATGCAGGGCTAAATACATCTGGATGTCACAACTGGGAACTCAGCAGCAATATTAACTGTTCCTAAGGGCAGGTTCTAACAAGACAGAGACTTGGGAGGGGGAGTCTGATCTCAGGCCCATTTCTAGCACATTTATTTGGAGTCTCAGGGGTTGATCACACATGCCAAAAGAACCCCAGTTACAACCCTTTAAATTTTTTAAAATAAATGTTTGCTGATAAATTGCTTACTATCCATGGAAGGTTCTCACAGCAGCAGCAGCAGTAGCAGCAACAACAACACAAATACATTGCTCAGAAAGAGTCAGCCTCCCCACCCCCACCCCTTTCAAGGTTTAAGGAAGGAAAGAGGGCTTGAGCAGTGAAAGGACCGTTTCCTGCTTGGAACTGTTTGAGGGGAGAAAGAAAAAGGTGTCACATTAACACCCTTAAAAAAAAACCCAAACAATTCTTTCCAAGTCTTTTAAACCCCACTTCCTCCTCCTGACACTGTTCAAGGGGAGGAATGAAAACCAAGAGCTAAGAGGAAGAGCTATGCAGGAAAATAAGGAAAGGGGGACAAGTGAGTAAAGGAGGGAAGGGGAAAGTGGAGAAAGAAAGAATGAAAAGGGGAGGAAGAAAACTGGAAAGTGGAAAAAGGCACAGGGAAGTGAACATTTAAAAAGGAAGGAAGGAAGGGCGCCAGGTGACATACGCCACTAGTTGCACATTGACTAACTGTTGAATGTGATAGGAAAGTAGTGATATATCACTTACAAATTATTAAAAAAAGAAGAAAGAAAGAAAATTTAAGGACAGCAGGGACTCAGAAACAAGACAGCAAATGAATCTATTTGTATGAGATGGCATGTCTAGCCTACAGAACTGGCACAAATAGCGTGAAATGTAGCGACTGAATGGACAGCCATGTTTAACTGGCCCAGTGCTAAATATATGAGGGATGTTGGCAAGTCTTTGAGTCTGAGTCCTAAGTTTGAGTCTTTGGTATTAAATCCCAAGTCCCAAGTCTGAGTTCTCCTTAAAAATAACTTTTCCCCCCCAGGAAAAAAAGGAGGATGGTTTTTGAGTTGCAAGCCAAGTCCTTGAAAAACAACAACCCTGACTTGAGTCCAAGTCAAATCATTGGTGCGACTTAAGTCCGACTTGACAGCAAGTCCTGCAACTCGAGTCCCCATCCCCGTTATATACCACATGACTATGCATACAAATATATCAGTATTTAAAAAGGAGGAAAAAGAAATGATTCAAATAGTCCATGTGATTTGGTCCTTAGATAGTCGTCCATACTTACCTTTACTGGGACGTACTCAATAGGAGATGATAACGAAAGAAATAACTAGGCTATTGGTCCTACATTGGCAGAACATAACGATCCAGATACTCAGTGCACGTAAGACATCTGACAATGTGGGTTTTCTTGAGGAATATCTAAAGGACTCAAAATGAAGATAAATTC